GGAGCTGGGGCAGTATTCCTCGATGTATAAGATACTCAGTTTTGGGTTTATTGAGAGAGAGTTAATGAGCCCCTGAGGAAGTTGACCTTACTTTCATTCAAGCCAAACAAACAAACAAAACCCATTTTAGGCTAAGGAGGTCTAAGAATTTCTAAAAGTTTATCCAAGTTAAGTTTGAAAATTCCATTTGTCCTTTTTATTTTACATGAAGACTAAGAATGATAAAGGTGATAGAGGTTTTGAGGAAGATTTATTGTCTCACAAACCTCCTTAGTAACAGTTATAGACAAGTGAGTGTTTACTAGAGAAGTAATTAGAATTTTCCCAGGTAGGAAACACAAACTCAAGCAACATTTTTTGGCCATTGTTAAGGTTGAGCCTTTTTAAACAACCTTTGAGCCATTCTAGAAATAGATATACAATAACTAAAGAAAAAGCCTTTGTTGTCAGGAAAACTAGTTTTGAAAAATTATCTGAAGGATAGCATACCCATATGTTCCTCAACACTGGTGTTTGTTAAGCTGCAGGTTGCAACCCAATCCATGACATCAATTCAGATTTTTTTCTAAGGCACAAAATAGAAAATTTTCAACTGCATCAGTTGGATTAATAAATACTATACTACGAAACTTGTGGAATTTGTTTGTTGTTTTCTTAGCAATTTGACGGTGTCAACTACAAATTGAGGGTTTGAATCCCTTTGTGGTTGCCATAACTATAGACTTCAAAAAAATGCACAACATGAGAGTTAAGTTTTATTTGGGGTAAAATGAGGACTGCAGCCTGGGAGACAGCACCTCAAATAACTCTGAGAAACTGCTCCAAAAGAGTTATGGGGAAAGGACAGTATATCTGTGATTTCGGTAAAGGGGGTGTACATGCAATCAAGCACATACTTTAGTAGAAAGTTTCTGCTGGTCTCATGAAGCTTCTGTTATTCCCAGGAAACAGTCATCACCATGAAGGATTTTAGTGCTTTTCTAGGTATGAGGAGATAGAAGAATTGGGCTTTTGAAAATGCCTATCTGATGACTTGTCCTGCCCGCCCCCTACCCCTGCCTCAAGCACAGGGCGCCTAATTTCTGCTGTCCAAGCTGAACTCCGTCAGGGGGTGTGCCAGGTCAGCAGCTGCAGCAGCACGTGATTTAATCCTTGTAGAGACAGATGTGTGTGTTAGTCGCTCAGTTGTGTCTGACTCTGCAACTCCATGGACTGTATGTAGCCTGCCAGGCTCCTGTGTCCATGAAATTCGCCAGGCAAGAGTACTGTAGTGGGTTGCCATTTCCTTCTCCAGGGGATCTTCCTGACCCAGGGATGAGAAGTGCCAATTTGTAGTTGAAAACTGTGATCTGCCTAGATGCATATTTTTTATTTATTTGGTGTTTGTTGAGTTTCTTAGAGCTATAAGTTGGTATATTTTATCAGCTGTATAAAATTTGGGGCCATTATTTCTTCAGTTTTTCTGCCCTAGATTCTCTCTTCTTCTGGGACTCCAATTACATGTTAGACCACTTAATGTTGCTTCACAGGTCACTGAGGCTCTGTTCTCCCTGCCCCCCATAAACATACCTAAGGTGTTTTTGTTTTCTGTACCTCAGTTTAGTTTCTGTTGCCCTGATTTTAAGTCCGTTGATGTTTTTCCCTGTTGTATTTTGTCTGTTATTTAAGCCTATCAGTGAATTTTATTTCATATATTGTATTTTCTGGATCTAGACTTTCATTGATATAGATTGATAGAAAAATAGATAAATGGATGGATGGCTAGATGGATGATACATACATGTATGCATATATATATACACACATACATATATATAGTTTTTATCTCTACTGAGAATTTCTGTTTACTTGTTGTGTCTATCTTTGCTAATTTCAACAGCTGTGTCACCTCTGAGTCTGTATCTGTTTTTTAAACTGGTTATGATTTTATTTTTTTTTCTACTTATTCTGTAGTCATTTTTTATTGTATCTTGGATGTTGTGATACAACATTAAATGTCTGGATTTTGACCTCTTTATTTTAAAGAGTGTCTGAAGCATAAATTAGCTGATAGGTCATCCCAGTCCTTTCAAGGTCTGTCTTAGATTTTACCACAGTGTTCAGCAGTTTCTCCTCTGGGTGGAAATTCATTTCTTTCCTTTTACTGTGTGATCACTAAAACTTGCATTTAGGTCACAGCACTGTGTTAGCTGTTTTCTGACATACCTTGCAGAGTATTGCTTTGCTTGTGGGCAACTTAGTATTCAACTAAAGATTTCTCTAAGGAGACCTCTTGGCATATTTTTATAGTTCCTTCTTAGTTCAGTTTTCTCATTTCTGGTATTCTGCCCTTCAAATTCCCACTGTCTGAGAGGCCCCAAACTACTCCTTTTTCCTGTGCCCAGTGAAACTGTCTTTGGGTTCTGTTTTCTTAGAAAGTAAAAGTGTTAGCTGCTCTGTCGTGTCCAACTCTCTGGGACCTCATGGACTGTAGCTCACCAGGCTCCTCTGTCCATGGAATTCTCCAGGCAAGAATACTGGAGTGGGTATCCATTCTGTTCTCCAGGGGATCTTCCTGACCTAGGGATCGAACCCGGGTCTCCTGAATTGCATTAGGATTCTTTACTGTCTGAGCCACCAGGGAACCCCTCAATTATGGGTATAATAAGTAAAACAGGAATTAGACTTACCCTTCTGCTATAAACTACTAATTACTAACATGTAATACAAATATGTGTGTGCATACAAGGTATATGAAGCAATTATTTTGAAGCAGTGGATTATCAGACATCACAGGTTTATAATCTTTGATAGATGATGGTAAGATCCTTACTCACCCTGGCTTTATAGGGGTAAAGAATCTGCCTGCATTGTGGGAGAGCTAGGTTCAATCCCTGGGTTGGGAAGATCCCTTGGAGAAGGGAATGGCTACCCACTCCAGTATTCTTGCCTGGAGAATTCCATGGACTGAGGAGCCTGGCAGGCTGTGATGGTTCATGGGATTGCAAAGAGTCAGACATGAACGACTAACACTTATGCCTATAATAAATAACATCTTTTGGAAATAAATGAGGATATATCATAGAAGTCCTCCCCATTTTTGTATTTTATAAGCCAAACACACAGCCAAAGGTACTGCTAGGATTTTTATTAAAGTGAAACAAAACAACTTGGAGTCTATTCTTTTTTTTTAAAATTAATTATTTTAGTTGGAGGATATTTTCTTTACAATATTGTGGTAGTTTTTGCCATACATCAACATGAATCAGCCATGGGTGCACATGTGTCTCCATCCTGAACCTCCCTTCCTACCTTCCTCCCCTCTGGGTTGTCCCAGAGAACTGGCTTTGAGTGCCCTGCTTCATGCATCAAAGCAGGTCATTTATTTTACGTATGGTAATATACATGTTTCAGTGCTATTCACTCAAATCGTCCCACCCTCCCCTTCTCCCACATAGACCAAAGGTCTGTTTTTCACATCTGTGTCTTTTTTGCTGCCTTGCATATAGGATCATTGTTACCATCTTTCTAAATACCACATATATGTGTTTATATACTGTGTTGGTGTTTTACTTTCTGACTTATTTCACTCTGTACAATAAACTCCAGTTTCATCCACCTCATTAGAACTGTGGAGTCTATTCTTCTAAGCAGAACAATGATATTAGAGACTAGCATTCTTTGCCATGAGTCATGGCTATAGTAATTTTAGACTTGTCATAAGGAATTTGATTTTTTTTTTTAAGGAATACTTTTCATGTGATAAAGTAAAATATCTTAAATGTTTATGTTATAAAAGAAATGAAATTGAAAATTTTATTTTCAATTACTGATACTGGTATGGATGGATACAGTTGATATTTTACTATATGTTCAATGAGAATTTATGAACTTTCTCTAGTAATGTTTTAAGTCTTGAAATTTGCTAATTATATAATTGTTATGGAAAATGATATTTTCTCTCTTTTCTTTCCATATTTACACGTTTTGTAATTTATTTCTAGACCTGTGTGCCAGTATTTCTTGTGACCAAAAGAAAAATACCTTTAACTCATCTCTGTCTCAAATGAGAGAAGTGGTTCTTTGTGAATTATAGTAATGGCTCTTAAATTAAGATTTTTTTATATTAAGAAGTCATTATAAATAAGCAGCTTCTTTTTATTTTATGTTATTTTTGAAAAGTAGAGAATACATTTTATGGAATATCTTTCTTTGAAAATTTTATGACTTAATGTTTTTGTTTAATGTCATGAATTATGTAAGTGCTCTATGTTGCTTTATAAATCTTGTTTTAGAGATAAAGATAACTGGATCCTTTTTGAAAGACCTTTTTTTAGTGCATTTTGTTTATCAAGATTGTATTTAGGAAACTTGTATCTCTACAATGCAAGTGTGTATATTTTAATTTTTTGGTCTTTTAATCACATTGTATTTTAGGATCTTAAAATTCTGTGTACTTCATAAGTAGGTAATAAGTCATCCTTTTCTCTAATTTACAGAATATTTCATGTAAAAGAAGTTACTCTATGAGGAGTAATTCTAAAATTGGTCTGATTAGGCCAGATCAGATATACATTTAGCAAAATATAATATTAGATTCCTAAATGCCATAGCAAGATTTCATTTAACAAATATTTGTTATTTTTAGATAATTAGAAGTAATTTTGGAGGTTTCATCCTGCTGTAAATTTGTAGTTTAAATTAGTCTCAATATAGCCTGGATAGAAACATCCTTAAAGTGTTTCCTTTCTCACCTACTTTTAATTAGCTTTTAAAAAATCTTTTATACACAAAATTGCTGTTTAATTTCCTGATTCCAATCAAGAATTAAGTAGAATTGTTAGGAAAATACCAAATTGTTACTTTCTTTTGGGGTGTTCTGGTAGTAAAAAAATGAACAGTTTTTCTATTTTCCTCTTCTCTTCTCTCCCGTCCTCCCTCTCCAATACACACGCTTCTCTTTGCATTTTCAAGATTGATCCTTTAAGTTAAAGTTTCTGAATATCTGTTATATTTTACAGTTGACAAATTACAGTTTGAACCTCCTTTGAGAAAAGAAACAGAAGCACGGGATGAAATGGTAGGACTTATGACTTTTAAAGTATTTTACACATTAAAATTTGAGAAAACTTATAATTAGATATATTTTGACCAAAGAAAAAAGTAATATACTCTTCAAGTGTTAAGTTTTGATAATGTATTTCACCATTCCCTGGTAGCTCAGACAGTGAAGAATCTCCCTGCAGTGCAGAAGACCCGGGGTCCATCCCTGGGTCGGAAAGATCCCCTGGAGAAGGGAATGGCAACCCACTCCAGTATTCTTGCCTAGAGAATTCCATGGACAGACAATGGGGTCGCAAAGAGTTGGACATGACTGAGCGACTTAACACATATTTCACCAGTTAAAGTTTGAAAAAGCTTATAGTTAGGTGTATTTTGACTAGGGTACAGTGTGTAAATACCATTTTAACCATTCATTTTGACATTTCTAAGTCTTGAAGAATTCACATAAAGTTATTAAATACATGGTATTTGATGCTAAGCTTTAAGCTCTCAAGATCTTTTTACTACTGATTCTGTTAGGTTTAGAGTGCAATTTTGCATTGCCTTACTGTTTTTAATATTTATTTGTTAATATAGCCCCTTTTTTTTTAAAACCATTGCTCGTATTTTAGATTACTATTTGGTTAACCCTTTTTCTTATCTAAAAGGAAAGAAACAATAGATCGAGCATGATATTATTAGAGTTGGCCTAGAGGTTATTCTAATATCTACTCTATTTTTAAGCATTAGTAAAAGTATAGTTTTTAGAGTTAGTGGAGCTCTTTATTCTTACATTTGGAAGTGATGCTCTTCCTACTGTATATATTGCTGGACAATAAATTCTTAATTTTCATGGTAGTCAGAAAAAATATGGCACCAATAAATTGAAGATAATTGACTAAAACAGTGCTTTAGTCCTCCATGCTAATGGAGTAGTGATGCACATAATTCAAAGTTAACATTTTTCTGTTTTGCTTTGGAATGTACTAGCATATTGTTAAAGAGGGCTTGTCACATTTTAAGCTGTGTTTATAATCTTCCTTACATTTAAGTCAACTAATAATGAGTTATTGGCATAAATATGTCAAATGACAGCAAGTGTAGCTAGAGGCTAAACAGTTGAAAGCCAAGATGATTAATAATCATGACAAAGAGTATTTTCTTGAATCAAATAAAGTGACTAATATCTGTTATAAGGTAACATGTTTAAACTCTTTTTTACCTTCATAGGGAGTATCATCAGACCCGAATTTTCTGTTACGGTGGAATCCTTTTGTTGATGGTGCAAATACCGGCAAGTAAGTTGTTTTTCTAACATTATTTTACTTGATTGTATAAGGACAGCATTTGGTGGTGAGTGATTTATTCTAATAAGTTTTAATTTTTATTCTTATAAAAGTTGTACTATGCCTCTTGTCAGTAAAAAGCTTCTGACTTTTTTTTAATTGCCCAAAGGCATCATGTGTTGATCATTAAGGTTTTAGGGTTTTATTCTCTAAATAAAAATACAGTATGTGTAATGTTAGTATACTGAAAGATGAGCTGCATGATGATGTGAGAAAAAGAACCATAGTAAGTGTCAGAAAGACCCAGTTCCATCTCTGTAGTCTGATTTCTTCATATTCTAGACCTGTCTTTCCTCAATGATTAAGTGATGGGACTGACCTGGGTGAGTTGTTCCAAACCTGTTAGTGCATTGCAGTGCCTAGAGAGCTCTTGTGGAAGTACAGATTCCAGGACCCCCACATTAGGATTTCAGGTCTGGGGTTGGCAAAGTATGGCCTCTAAGCCAAATCTGACCCTATTTTTTGTGCATCCCACAAACTAAAAGGATATTTACATTTTTTAATGGTTGGAAAAAATCGAAAGGCAAAGTAATTTTGTTACACATGAAAATTATATGAAATTTAAATTTCAGTGTTCATAAATGAAGGTTAGTTGGAACACAGCCATGTTTCATGCTTACAACATTAGAGTTCAGTAGTTGTGACCACTATATGATTCATAGAGCCTAAATATTTACTGTCTAACCCTCTATAGAAAAAGTTTGCCAACCCTTGCTATGGAATATAGTCCTTGGAAGTGGAATCTAAGAATCCTCAAAGCTTCCCAATTGATTGCAATGACTGGGGATAATTGTGTGAAACCAGTGGGCTAGATCAGTGATTCTCAAATTTTGGTGTGCCTGGAGGATCACCTGGAAATTTTGGTAAAATGCAGATTCTGATTAAGTAGGTCTAGGAGGCACATTTATAAAAGTTTCCTTGGGAATTCCCTGGTGGTCTAGGGATTAGGACTCAACGATTTCACTGCTGGGAGCCTGAGTTCAATGCCTGGTTGGGGAACTGAGATCCTGTAAGCTGCATGATGTGGCCAGAAAAAAAGTTTCCATGTGTAACTAATGTTGCTGATCTCTGGACCCCACTTGTAGTAGTGAAGGGTTTGATGATAGAGCTATTTGAATGTATGATTCACTGTGGATTCCAGCTCTAAAATTCTGAATCTTTTTTTTAACTGAGTTTAGTTTTTATTACATATTAAATGTAGCAAAGCATAACCACAAAGTAAAAAAGGCTGTGTTCACATTATAAAAGCTCTATTTTATAGTCATACTAACACAGTTTGACAGAATGAGATCTTAGGTCTTCCTGTAGGTTTTAAAGTTACTCTGTGCTGTGATCCAGTTGTCTTTTATATTCCTTGAGTAGAAGCAGATTTTAATGCAGATTTAATGCTCTGTTTTATGTTGTGATTACTTAAAACCATCTAAATTGCATTTTTCTCTTTGTGTTAGATCAACCTCAAAACGTGCAATACCACCTCCCCTACCTCCTAAGGTAAGCAACTTGAAGATTTTCAGCAATAAATCCTTGTTTAAAGTTACAATAAAAGTAACTTTATTGAATTTGTTCACAATTCTCTTAAATATATTTAGATATAGTTTTCTTCAAGAGCATATTATGAAGATGTAAAAATATATTTTAAAATATTTCATGATAAATACAGTATCTTTATAGCTATTAGAAAAAGGCAAAGATAAATTATTAGTCATTTAAAAAAATGCTTGACCATGTTAAAAGGAGAGGAGTTCATCATTTACAGTCCTCATTTATTACTACAGTTGGACATTTCACTAGAGTCACACTTCATTAAGTCATTTTCCTTGCTTGTTTCTAGTTATTAAATATTTCATGGATTGTGTATATGATTTTATTGATTATAAACACATCAGTTTGGGGCTAGGGCTATTAAAAGTCACATGGCAAGTTCATAGTTGTTTTGAGACAGTAACTAAGCTCTTACTTACCTTACTTACTTGGCCCAGTGAATTGAACTATGTAGGAGAAAGAAAAAAAGGCATATTTTCTCTCCCTAAAGTCTTTGATACATAATAATAAAAGTGTTAATGTTTTATGTCCAAATTTATTAAAGTACTTTTATGTCTTATTATCAACTAGCCAAGGATAAACAGTTACCCTGAAGACAACCTCCCAGATGAAGAAAAGTCATCAACTGTAAAACGTTGTCCTGATTCAGAGAACAGAGCTCCCCAAGTTCTCAGAAGACAGAGTAGCCCCAGTTGTGGTCCTGTAGCCGAGACTTCCTCTCTTGGTATGGCTAGCAGTATCAGCAGCCCTGGAGTGCATACAGCTAGATACTGTGATCTCGGTAAATAAATCAAAGTGAAAACTGAAAAGAAAGACATTTTGTTCAAATTTTAAAGACTGCCTTTTTTTTTTCTTTAGTCAGTCTTATTACTGTTTAAAGCTTTGTGAAAGTTCTTTAAAATTCCACATGGATGGGCTATAAATAGGTTCAATCCAATTCAACCCTAATTTGATCCCTTACTAAATATTATAAGATCTAGAAAAATGAATGGATGACCCTGCCCTCCAGAAGTTCATGATCTATAGCAAAAGTTATATCCATGCACACATAAAATCAGATAAGACATTTTGTTTTAAGTGTCTCCTACAATAAGTAACTATATGTAACAGAACACCAGAGCTCTCTGAGGGAGATAAGGATAGGGTAGGGAGAAGGTAGGCCCTTGGTGAGCCTTTAACAGTTGGAACCAGTACTGACAGACTTTCTTAGAGAACAAGAAAGAATGAACAAATGCACTGAAGCAGGAAGATCTAGCTTGTGTTGGAAGTACAGCCTAGTATATAGAAGTGTGAGCTTTTGAAGAGTGTATACTGGGAAATAGAACTTAAAAAGGTAGAGCGAAGTTAAAACTCTGAAGGCCTTGAATATCTGCATTAGTAAGTCCATGTTTCACTTTTCTCACAGTATGGCAAGACATTTGTTGTTTTCACGTATTAAGACCACTGCTATAGTTGCAGTGCTACTGCTGCAGGATCTAGAGAAAGGCACCAAAAATACTTTAACTCATCTGAAAGTAGAGAATATTTCCTAATGAAGGATCACCCAAATGGAAAACAAGTACTGGGGGGAAAGGGAAATTCTTTTTCAAGGAAAACTTTTTTGTATGGTCATTCAATTTTTAACTTTGATTCTCTTTAGGAAATGGAGATGGTATTTCAAAATTGATGAGTGAAAACACAGAAGGATCAGCGCAAGCACCACAGTTACCACGAAAAAAGGACAAGCGGGATTTCCCTGTATGTATAACAGGCATTGGGGATTAGTTGTAACTAATACTGTATCATATAAGGGGCATAGCCTATTTAATGCAAGACTTGGAATAACTGGACTTCTAAATGTATAAAGTTTTTTTTAAGGCTTTAAGAGGTCTTAAAGTATTACCAATTATTTTTCCCACAGAAACCAGTAATCAATGGCCTTCCACCGACCCCAAAAGTACTGGTAAGGAATATTTTTATTTGAACCATTTGCCAATTTTTCTTTAGAAGCTGAAGATTTTTTATTTGCTGTTGAGTATCTTAAGATGTTGAAGGATTCATAAAATACTGAAGCATCAAATTCATTTGAATATACTGTGCATCCAATCATGTACCCTTATTTAAGCCAGTTAGTTAGAGTTGGGTGAATTTCCACTTTTATAAATATGGAGAATTGAGTTCTGCAATTAGCCTACAAAGGCCAATTTCTCTTTAATGTGATGATATTAATAGTATTGTATCCTCTTCATTATGTGGGTTAAATATCTTTCTGTGCCTGAAGTCATTTTTACATTGAACTATACACAGTGGGAAGGAACACAGAAGCTTCTGTTCTCTAGCCTTTCAGTAGTACCTCTCTGTAATGTAGTTCAGCCAGTCATAAGAATGGGTGCCTTTTAAATTGTTTCTTTTCATACAGTAAAAGTTAAGCTTAAATATTTGTCTTTTTGTCTCATCACTATTATGGAGGTAAACTGCAAATATAGCTGTTATGTTACTCAATAAAATCATTGTTTTGCATTATTAAATCTTATTGTAAAGATTATTTGTGACTTAGGTACCTTGAATGTATCATTGACGTATGTAGATGTTTTGGTAAATCTGATATTTTTTCTCTAAAATAGAGGATTTCTCAAGGAAAGAGTATGAAACTCTTTTGATAGAAGGAGTTAATATATCAAATATGAATTTTGTTTTGTAATGAGACCATAAGTATATGCACATAAGAGTCAGTTTAGCATTTCATAATAATCTTCAGCTATATTCTAAGAATATAAAAATTATCTAATCAAATAAGTCAACATTTCTTTCTTTTTAAATAAGATGGGAGCATGTTTTTCCAAAGTTTTTGATGGCTGCCCTTTGAAAATTAATTGTGCAACATCTTGGATACATCCTGATACAAAAGGTAACTTTTCTGAAACTTTTATATACCTCTCTAACAAAGTATTTATTATTGGAAAGGATCTTTATGATCACTGAACTGAGGGCTCTTTACTTTAAAAAGTACAACCTAGAGACTAAATAGTATAGGTCTTACTATTTAGTGTAACTACCTAAATAGGTAAACAGTTTTGGTTTAAAAGCATTAGAATTTTAGAGTATACAAGAACAATTCCTGATTAAAAGAGATGAAAGAGATGTCACAACTGATTGCAACCATAATTTGGCATTTTTCTTTTATTTACAAAGACAGTACTGGGCCAATTGATAATCTCAGAGTCAAGATATTAGATAGTATATTGTTTCAGTGTTCTGAATATCCTGATTCCCTTATTTTGATATATCCTGATTTTGATCCTTTTTCTGTGGTTGTGTAAGACCTTTTTGTTTGTTTTTTTTTTTTTTAAAGAAATGCACACAAATATTTAGGACTAAAGGGGTATCAGGCTTATAACTTAATTCAGGAAAGGGGAAAATGTGTGTGCAGAGAAAAAGAATGATAAAAACAAAAGTAGCAAATGTTGACATTGTGGAATCTGCATGAAGTATATTCAAGAATGCATTGTATTATTATAATGTTTTTGAAAGTCTGAAATGATAAAGTAAAATTTACTCTTAAAATTTTAGGCTATGTGATTTTAAAGTGAGGAAGCATAACACATGGGGAAAATTTAGAATCAAATATATATGGGTTGAGTTCCCTAGCTGTCATTACTATGTGACTTGGAAAAGATACTTAATATTTCTGGTTCTCAGAGCGATCATTTATAACATAAATACTCATAATACTCACCTCGTTGCAATGAAGAAAGGAGCCAACCTGGTTGTCTGGGAATTAGCAGAGGTTAGGCAGTGGAGGGTATTCTGGAAATGTTTGTTTCCACTTCAACACAGTCATAAAGATAGGTTGTGTAATTATCTGTTTTATGTGCCATCATTAGAAAGTATAACAGAAAATAATATTGGAACAGTAAGCAAATTTTTTTTAATGTTTGTAACTTTTTATTTTGCTAGAGTTTACACTTACAGAAAAGCTAGAGAAATAGTATAAGAAACTGATATACTCAGAATCATCAAGAGTTTCTTTTTTTTAACACCCTCACCAACACCATACTGTTTGTTTATTTATTTTTATTTAAGTATAGTTGATTTACAATATTGTGTTAGTTTCAGGTGTACAGAAAAGTGATTCATTTATACACATACATATATTCATTCCTTTTTAGGTTCTTTCCCATATAGGTTATCACAGAATATTGAGTAGAGTTTGCTGTGCTACATAGTAGATCCTTGTTGCTTTTCCATTTTATATATAGTCGTGCTTGTGTGCATCCTTTTGCCACATTTGTTTTACTATTTTCCATCTGTATGTGCATTTTTTTTTCTGAATCACTTGAAGGGTGAGTTGTGGACACCATGCTCCTCTTCCCCTTATACTTCACTTTGTATTTCCTAGGAGCAAGAATCATCTCTTATATAATCATAGTACTATTATAAAGATCAGAAACTTTATCACTGATATAATACTGTTTTTTAATCCACAGCCCATATTTAAGTTTTATTAATTATCCCAGGAGTGTCTTTCATTTTCCTCTCCCTCTTTCTTCCCCCCAGTCCAACATCTAGTTCAAGTTCACATGTTGGATTTGCCTGTCATGCCTTTAGTCTCCATTAGTCTGAAAGTTTCTCAGCTTTTCTGTCTCACTTGATCATGCCATATTTTGAGGCTGCTTATTTTGTAGAATGTCCCTTAATTCGGGCTTGTCCAATGAGTCCTCGTGTGTAGATCTAGTTATGCATTTTGGGAAGGAATATCACAGAAGTGTTTTTGTGCTCTTCTCAGTTCATCGTTATCAGGAGGCACTCAGTATCAGCGTGTCAAGTGCTGGTGACATTAGCATTGACCAGTTGGTTCAGGTGGTGTTCACTAGCCTTCCCTTCTGTCAAGTTCCTGTTTTTCCCTTCCTAAGTAATTGCTTAATTAACTTCCCAAAATAATTGATAGGTAGCTAGTGTGGAGATACATTGAGACTTGATAAATATCCTCTTGCTAATCAAGCTTTCACTGACTAGTTTTAGTATCCATTGACAATCCATTGGCATCTGTTAACAGTTTTACTTTTTTCTCATTTATTCACTGTGTTTGAGTAAGATGACATATAATGAAAATTTTGTTTTAAAAAGTTTTATAGTAAGATAAAGCAGAGTTAGTAACAATATATCTACTGTTTAAAAAATGAAGAATTGGGGCAAGAGTTAGAGGAGGTACCATGGGTTTTAGAAAATAATTTTTGTTTGGATGAGTGGGTGGTTATCTAATTCTTAATACCATTAAAATATAAGGCCATTATTTTAATGAATGATTTCAGAAAATGTTAGTAAATTCTGGTGATTTATCTCAACTATTTTAGATCAGTACATTATTTTTGGAACTGAAGATGGTATTTATACATTGAATCTCAATGAGCTACATGAGGCAACGATGGAACAGGTAATTTAGGAGTTTTAACTCATAAAATTAGCTTGGACTAATTGAATAAAGGAAATATCTTAATTTTAGGTCAATTTTTATGGGCCCCAGTTTTAATTTTTATGATTTAAATATTTAAAGTGGTGAAATTGTACTCTTTATATGTTCATGTCTGAGGATTTTTTTCCATAAGGTTGTGGTAATTTATTGAAAGAGAGAAATAGTTTTTTTGCTACTCTTTCAGACTGTTGAAATTTGGAGGTTGAGGGGTAAGGGAATGAAATTGGAGGGTTTTAATTATCTACTTTTTTCTTAATAGTTATTTCCACGGAAATGCACTTGGCTCTATGTTATCAACAATACTTTAATGTCATTGTCAGGTATGTATATGATGAAAATAATGTGCTAAATAAACCATGGACAAGCAGAGAAATGTAATTTTAATATGTATTATTTTAAAATGTTGTTATTTAGGGTAATTATAATCTAGTATAGTTAATGTTGAGGCTTGTAGGTGTTTTTGACCAGTGTAGAGCAGGAAGAAACCTGTTGTCAGGTAAAGCTGTGCTTCCCACACGTGCCCAAGAACTACACAGTTGGGGGACATGACAGTGATTGTTCCCGAGGCTGTCTCCACACAGGCACTGTTCCTGCCACCCTCCCTGCCTTCCACTGAGAGTCAGCAGTTGAGGGGAAGGAATCAGAGGGCCTAGCTGCTTCCTTGTCTTTAATCTTGAGCCAGTCACTGTCTCGTCTCTTGGCCTCAGATTTCTTTTTCTTTTTTTCATAAATTGTATCTACTTTAAAATGTTTTTAATTGAAGTGTAGTTGATTTACAGTGTATTGATTTCTGCTGTACTATACAGTATTTCAGTTATCCATATATATATACTTTTTTCATACTCTTTCCTTTATGGTTTATCACAGGATATTGAACGTAGTTCCCTGTGCTGTATACAGTAGGACCTTGTTGTTTGTATATTCTGTATGTAATAGTTCACGTCTGCTAAGCCCAGACTCCAGTCCACCCTTCCCCCTGCCCCTCCCTGTTGACAACCAGTAAGTCTGTTCTCCACTTCTCTGAGTCTGTTTCTGTTTCGTAGATAGGTTCTTTGTGTCACATTAAAGCCCACATATAAGTGATACCATATGGTATTTGTCTTTTTCTTTCTGACTTACTTCACTTAGTGTGATCATCTCTAAATCCATCCATGTTGCTGCGTGCAGTTTCCTTAATTGTAATTAATATGAGGAGGATAGTAACAATAACAACCTCACAAGATTGCTGTGAGGATTAAGTGAGATATAAAGAATACTTAGTTAACTGTGAAAACTTAATAGATGTTCGCTGGTAGAATTCTGGACCACACATTTATTAGCCAACTTGGACCAAAACTTTATGAAGTCTTAAAAATAATCATACGGGTTTTGGAGCAACCTATTCTAATTTTGTTGTTTGTGTTCTTCTTTTTTTTGTTTTGTTAGGGATAGATGGGTGATGTTTTAAGCTTTTTTTTTCCCCCAATCCTTACCTGCCAAAAACAATTTTCTTACGTTTTGAATTTAAGTGGCTACCTAAAGGTTCGCTACTTGCTTTCATTCTGATAGTAGAGTTTAGTTGGCTCTCTGTATCTGCATGTACAGCTTCAACTAACTGCAGATAGAAGTTTTTTTTTTTTTAATTCTGGAAAATTCCAAAAAGAAACAAAACTTGAAATTTGCCAGGCACTGGGTCACTGCTTATATAACATTTACATTGTATTAGGTATTATACATAATCTAGAGATAGTTTAAAGTGTATGGAAGACTGTGCATAGGTTATATGCAAGTGCTTCATGACATCATTTTATATGAGGGACTTCAGCAACCTCAGATTTTGGTATCTGCATGGGGGTTCTGGAACAATACTTATGGTGGGACCACTGTACAAAATAGTTAATTATTTCTCTCTTTCCTTAATCCTAATGCTGTCATCTATTAAAATAGCACTCATCCCTTTCTCCACTTTGAATAACTAAGTTATTTTAACATTTCTTAATTTTCTTTCAGTTTTGTTTGATATTCTGACGATTACATCCCAGCTATTATTTACTGTACTGTCAGACTTTTTGTTATTAAGTATACCTTTCAGCTACTCATGCTTTAAAACATCAGTGCTGATACAGTTTTAACTCACTGTGAATTGTGGCTAATTTAAGAAATGTCATTTTCATAATTTTAAGTATGTGTGTGTGAGTGTATATAACTTAAACTCTTCTACTAACCATCACCTAGTAGAGATTCTTCAGGAATTTATATATTTGAGCTGATGACAATGTTTACAAAGAGCATCTTATTTGATTGTCCACAAATGTCTTTTCAAAAACTAGGGTCCTCAAATGACTGTTTATTCTCTTTGATTTTGAGTCCCCTAATTTTTTTTTTACTTTTATCTAATAAAATATTAATATAGCATGTTATATTATGAAAATAAACCTAATTCTGTTTGAATTAACAATTCTGAATTGTATTCATATAGAATCACTTTCCTCCAACCGCTTTTATATACCTGTCTGTGTGAATAAGCTTAAAAGCTACACAGAGTACATTTTATATATTTATAAAATAACTATAGAAAGGCAGGAAAAAGCTAGCCTATGAATTAGTTCTTTCCAAATTCTACTTAAAATGACCTGTGGAACTGAATGAAGATAGGTAGCAGTGCTCAATAAGAGAAAACGTTTTTGTTTAAAAGTCTGCATTTCTATACATAAGTGTACATACATGTAATGTGTTAGTTGCTTAAGTAACTACTTATATATAAAGGGGGACTGGAGAAAGGAAGGGTGGTATAAATGTTAGGCAGAATGCTGTATTTTGAAAAGATACAGAAAATTTTGTGAGGATAAAGTCACTCTTTTTCATGTTTTCTCATAGTAAAATGATTGATACTATTTGGGGCTGTTATAGTACCATGTCATATATAGTAAGGAGTCAGATATTTACCATATCTCCCCCCTTTTTAATGTGGATTAAATAAATGGTTTTGATTATATAGAAATCGTAGTCCAGCTATCCTGAATAATGATAGCACATACTTGTAGTCCTGTTATATCCTATGGCATATAGTATTAGTTGGCTTTACTTTTCTTAGTATTTCAATGTTATCTTAAGACTTCTTTCACAATTAGTTTTAATCCAAGGTAATGTGGTAGATTATTCATAAATAGGAGTAGCTCAGAAAGGTAATGTAGTGGTTATATAGTTTTCCATGTTGTACTGAAATAATCACATGTGCATCATTGTGACTCAGCCTATTTTGTAAAAAATGTTTAACAATTTCTTTTTCTATATTCACTTCATTAAGGTTTACGTATATTCTGTCCAGATCACCTATTAGTCAGAATATATCTAATTTATGTATTGGGAAACTCAATTATCTGTTACTTTCCTAAAACTTATTTTACTTATTATCTTTCAAAGTAGTACTAACTATGTATTTTTGTTTATGTTTTTCTGTTTTGCTTGGCTTTTTGAACATGTCTGGATTCATCATTTTAGAAGGTAATTATTATTTCTTTTGCTTGAAAATTATATTTCTGTTTTAAATAATTCTAATAAAAATAACATGTTTCTCTTTTATAGGAAAAACCTTTCAACTCTACTCTCATAATCTTATTGCTTTGTTTGAACAAGCCAAAAAACCAGGACTAGCTGCCCATATTCAAACTCATAGGTTTCCAGATCGCATACTACCAAGGTACTAAATATTTTGATTTTGAAAGGTAGTTTACATTAAGTGTCATATAGAGTTCAAAAGATAAGTGCTTTGTAACTTGACTGTCCATGACCATCACCCATAGAAGTTTTATGATTTAAATTCCCAGGCCCCACCTCAGACCTATACTATCACATAGTTTTGAGTCATAGTTTAAGATGGGTTTTTTTTTAAAGCTCCTTGACTAATTCTGATGGAACTGATTCACAGATCACTCACTGTTTGAGAACCACTGTAGTAGAGTACATTTATGTTCTCCTGTGTTTACAGAAAGTTCGCTTTAACCACAAAGATTCCTGATACAAAGGGCTGCCACAAATGTTGCATAGGTGAGTAAATACTATTTCTCAAGCTGAATGGCTAGAACTTTTAACATCTTTAAAATTATCTTTAAAGTTCTTAGAGTATTAAATAAAGGAAGGGAAGCTTTATATTTCTTTTAAATAAGGAGTTAAGGGGCCACTGAAGCTCAGGAATGTATAGTGGAACTTGGCATAAAAGCACTTGAAGATAGTAGCCCTGAGCTGATGCTTTCTCGGAGCACAATGTTCCTCAAATTTTTTTAACCACAGTCCCTAAGCCTCTATCTCTGCTAATATCCTAGCTTTCAGTTAGCACTTACCATTTATTTAACAGTTATTGAGTAGTGCTTTATGAACAATATTATTTCAGGATTCTGGCCAACTCTGAAGTTAGAGGGAGCAGTCCATACAAGACCACTCTCACTTCTGTTACCAATTATAAGCTTACCAATTATAACCTTCATGGTCAGAATTTCACTGGTATGACTCAGAATTCGCTGAAAGTGGTTATACTCTTGGCTTTGGTTTATTACAGGGAAAGGATATAGATTAAAATCAGCTAAGGAAAGATGTTCATAGGGCAGAGTCCAGGAAAAATATAAGATGTAGAGCTTCTGTTGTCCTCCATAGAAGAAAAGACAGCATATGGATAGTGTTACTTTTCAGGCAGTGATGTGTGATAATACACGCTAGCCAGGTAAGCTTACTCAACAACCGCAGTGTTCAGAGTTTTTACTAGGGCTCTATTATGTAGGCATGCTTGACTGCCCACATGGCTGACCTCAGTATCCATCCCCTCTGGAGGTCAAGTGATGCTGCATGACCCAAAGCCCCTACCCTCAATTTCTTGGTTGGTCTTTATGGCCTGATTGTTCCCCATCCTAAGACTATCCAATGTTGCCAGTCCATGGGGTCGCAAAGAATCAAACGTGACTTAGCAACTGAACAACAATGTATCAGCACTGCCTTTATAAAGAAAACTGAGTTAGCTTTTGGGTGAGTATAATTCAGTAGTTGCTTTTAACTAAACTTTATGTTTTCATATAAAAATATTCAGTGTTCTGGGTGTGTCTGTTTTGTTTCATTCCAGTCAGAAACCCTTACACAGGACATAAATACCTCTGCGGAGCTTTGCAGTCTGGAATTGTTTTACTTCAGTGGTATGAGCCAATGCAGAAATTCATGTTGATAAAGGTATATATTACTTTGTTTACATTTTCTTCTTTAGAAAACACTAATGTATAATTGAACCTAAAATTGTAGAGTCCCATTGCTACCAGCCAGGATCATGTTTATAGTTATTTATAGGTATTTATTTGGTTTAGGGGCTTTTGTGTTCTTAAGACTTTAAAGATCTCATCTTTATTTTATGTTAATAAACTTCCAGAAATAACACATTCATAAAGAAGAATGTGGCCAATTCTCTAAAACATATGTTTATAGAAAACTGATCCTTATCCTGATCATTTAGATGTAGTCATTTTTTTAATATGATACTGTGTTTCAGGTATAGAGCAAAGTGTTCAGTTGTATATTTCTTTTCTCACATTATTTTCATTATAGATTATTAAAGGTATTAAATATAGGCCCCATGTTACACACTAAATCCTTATTGCATATGTATTTTTATATAGTAGTTTGAATATGTAGATTCTGTACTTCTTATTTATCCATTCCCCACTCCCTTCCTTCTTTGTTTTTTATGTCTGTCTGTTTCTGTTTTGTATATAGATTCATTTGTATTGTTTTTTAGATTCCACATATAAGTGACATTGTGTATTATTTGTCCGACTTACTTCGCTGAGCATGATATTGTCTAGGTCCATCCATGTTGCTGCAATGGCAACGTTTCATTCTTTTTATGGCTGAATAATATTCCATTGAATATATACAGCACATCTTATGCCAGTCATCTGTTGATGTGCACTTGAATTGTTCCCATGCCTTGGCTGTTATAGATAGTGCTGCTGTGAATGCTGAGGTGCATGTATCTTTTCAAATTAGTTTCATATTTTCCAGAGTATTCCCAGGAGTAGGATTGCAGGATCATATGAAAGCTCACTTTTCTGTTTTTTAAGGAACCTCCATACTGTTCTCCATAATGACTACACCAATTTACATTCCTACCAGTAGTGTAGGAGTGTTCTCTTTCCTCCAAACCCTCCCCAGCATTTATTGTTTCTAGACTTTTTAATAGTGGCCATTAACGATTGGTGTGAGGTGGTACCTCATTGTAGTTTTGATATGTATTTCTCTAATAATTAGCAGTGTTGAGCATCTTTTCATGTGCCTAGTAGCCATCTGTATGTCTTCTTTGGGAAAATGTCTATTTAGGTCTTCTGCCCATTTTTGATTGGGTTTTTTGTTTTTTTGATATTGAGTTATATGAACTGTACGTGTACTTTGGAAATTAAACCCTTGTTCATATCATTTATAAATATTTTCTCCCATTCTGTGCATTTTCTTTTTTGGTTTTATTTATGGTTTCCTTTGCTATGCAAAAGCTTTTAAGTTTGATTAGGTCCTATTTGTTTATTTTTATTTATTTTTATTTATTTATTTGACTTAGGAGACTGATCTAAGAAAATATTGCTACAATTTTTGTGAGTCTTTAAGCTATTTTGAGTTTATTTATGTATATGGTAAGAGGGAGTGTTCTAACCTCATTGATTTACATGAGGCTGTCCCACTTTCATAATGCTGCTTTGTCGTAGATTAGTTGACCATAGGTCTGTGGATTTATTTCTAGGCTCTCTATTCTGTTCCATTGATCTATATGTCTGTTTTTGTGCCAGTAAGAGGGAGTCATTTCTTAGAATCAGATAAATCAAGAAAATGAAAGCCTTTCTGTTGAATTTATTCAGCAACAGAATGAATGAAGAGATTGTTTCTAAATTATGCTCCTTTTTTCTTGCAGCACTTTGATTTTCCTTTGCCAAGTCCTTTGAATGTTTTTGAAATGCTGGTAATACCAGAACAGGAATATCCTATGGTATGTGTAGCTATTAGCAAAGGCACCGAATTAAATCAGGTAGTTCAGTTTGAGACAATCAACTTGAACTCTGCATCCTCATGGTTTACAGAAATTGGTGCTGGTAAGTGTTTTTTACTTTATGTTAAAGTATTAATGCTTTTGTCTATAGAAGAAGCAGAAGAGGTTCAACATGCATGGGCTTTCTAATAGACTTTCCCAAGTAAGCGCAGAGGATCATGTACATATAGTTTATGATCTCTGTTCGCCACAGGCAATTTGATACATACAAAGTGTTGTTACCAAGAAAAATTTTAATGATCCCCAGCATTTAAAAGTCTTAGTTGTTGTCAGTTAATATTTGGACTTACTAAATAAATAAGTTTTCTAAGATAGTTTTCAGATTTTATCAACTTCTCAAGCAAATAAATTTAATTTTTTTAAAATCAGTTTTTACCCCTACAGTTCCTAAAATCATTGAGTCTAGTACTTTTCAGACTTAAATAGAAGCTTCGCCTGTGTAGCCTCTAAGCATTACCATTTAAAGTTACAGGGAATATAATATCTCTTGCATTTTCTGAGAATGGTTTTTTAGCCTAGAATTTTATCAAACATGTCTCAGTGAAAGCTCTGAAAAGATTGGGAAGTTTATTTTCAAACTTTAAAATTGGAACAAATCAGTCAAGAATTTATTAAAAATTAGTAAAATGAAGGTCTTCATTTTGCCCATTTACTGTTTTTGTTGTACTAGTGTATTGTCACCCCAGGTTTACAAGCCGTTTCTACATATGAAGTCAAGCAAGCTTTAGTTACAGCTATTTCATTACTGACCCCTTTTTATCACCTTGAGAAGAAGTCTATTATAAGTTATCATAAGTTTTTATTAAGTATCTTTGGCTTTTGATCATCTTTAGGCTAAATTATAACAACTCTTTATACATCCCAGCTATTGAAGTTAATGTAGAACTGCACTAATGTCACTTTCAGAATAAAAATCAGTATGACCTATTAGTGTCCTAGTAAATGTTTAACAACAGACTCTTGGGGTGCAGAGAAGCCTCGTTTATAGCAGTTGCCTGTTTCTGGTTATAAACATTCTCACCACAGCCAGTTTCAAAATACCAACTTAATGTCACCTGACTTGCAAAATTTCTGAAAATTTATCAGTCCAGTACAAGCCAGTTCCAGCATGCCTTGGACTATTGTCGCTGTCTTGTGTACCCGGTCATAATTCCCAGTAGAATAAAATAGGAATGTATTCTTTACCCTCCCCCATCCTCCCCACTCCCCACCCCCGGCACTCATTTTTCTTTCTAATTTGTTAATGCTTTTGGTTGAGTTAGATGCATACCCTCATGGTATAGCTAACAGGAAGGTGCAAATGGCCTTGTTTTATTATCATGAAATATAAGCAAGCCAAATAGAAATGTGTTCCTATTAGATACTTACTGCTAAAAAGAAGGGTTATAGGTCTGTTCATTTTAAAACCAAGATCATGTTTGTCAGGCAGCCCCAACTTGTTTATAAGTTGTTCATATAATAATAGTGTAGAGAAAGTTATTTCGTATGACTATTTAATGTAAGTGTTGCACACCACTTTCTTTTGTATGTTGTGTTAGGAGGTTAAATTGTTTAAGGCTGGGCATTCAATGAGTCCTTTTGTGCATTTGCAGAGGTGAGGGGTTGTTGTTTTCTTTTTAATGCCAGAGGCATACTGTTCTATACACTTATAACACAGTCTAGGCTAAAATTACAGCAGACCCAAAATTACTTCCCGAGGAGAGCTAGAATTCTGAGAGCATACATTCAAATCACCCTAAAGCAGAGATTGTCCTTATTAGGTTTCTCCATTTTCACAAATGATTGCTAATCTATTTCCAGCTATGTTGATTACTGAGACCATACCTTGACTTGACAACAGTTTTAACAATTAAAATGAACTCCTACTCCAAGACTCTCTTAGTCTTATTTTGATTAATTGTTGCAGTATCCTTTTCTCCAAGAATGGTGCTTAGTAATTACCATCAGCACATAATAACTGTATGTTGAATAAATGTGTGAATATAAATTTATTGAGAAAAGCTATTTTTTTTTTCGGAATATTGCCTGAGAAACAACACTTTACCAATTCTGTACATCTGGATTCTTCACTATGTATGGATTTTGGAAGGTCCATAAATACCCCAAAATAATGTGTAAGATTTTGTGTTTATGCCCAGATGGGCAGTTTTTAAGGGAAAGGATCTATGGGTTTTCCCAAAAGATGTAGTTAAGAATGAATGCTCTAAATCTAAAATCTTTGCATAGTTTCACCTAGACCATTCACACAATCTGAGTGGCTGAAATAGTTTTTCCAAAAATGTTTTGCAAAAATGTCATCACTTATATTAGCAGATGTTTATCAGCAAAGTAATGAAAGTTGCTTCCTGCAAAGATACCGTTGACAGTATTGTTTATTATGTCAACTGGTGTTTTGTTACTAAAGGAACTCCAACCTACACTCCACCCCAATAACCACAAAAATTGCTCTCTGATCATAGTTTCATTAATACTTTCGCTTTTTCTGAATTACTGACTTTTTTTTTTAATCTCAGAGACACTGTGACCCACCTGATTGATCTTGTTTTCATCTTTTCATTGGCTACTATAAAATGCAGAGCAAAATCTAATCACTGTATAACATGCATCTTACTTCCTTCCCCATATTTACCATTTGCTTCATTTTATTTTTGTAATACACCTTTCTGGAACTAGCCAAGGTATTAATTAAATATAATATTGATCCTTTCTCAGTTAGCCTTGCTTAAGACTTTGTTTTTTAAATTGACTTAAATACGTTTTTTGAGAAGATAATTGCAAAATATAATTTTCGTGTTAAACTTCAAAGGCTAGTTTAAAATCATAGGAAGAAAACCAGAATTTGTGTTTCTTTTCTAAGTTATAATTTTTAAAGCATATTATATAACTGTAACCTTTTTTCTTTACCCCCAAGGCAACCAACAGTTAGATTCCATTCACGTAACACAGTTGGAGAGAGATACTGTTTTAGTGTGTTTGGACAGTAAGTACTATTTTAAAGTTTATTCTACTCTGGAGATGGGGGTGCTGCTGTAAAAAAAAAACAAAGTTTATTCTCAGTATACTACTTGATATAACATACCTTTTCATGAACTAGATTCTAGTAGAATCAGTAGAGTAGATTTTGACTTTTCCACCTTAAGTAGCCGTGTTTTATTGATGAAAAATGTAAATTAGTTACATATATGGTAATTAATTGATCTGTCTGTCAATACTGTCCTCTGTGACGTTTTTCTTTATTTTGTTTGGCCGACTTGGAAACATTGTACAGTTGACCCCCTGTATCCATGGGTTCCGCATCCTTTTATCAACCATGGATTGAAAATATTCAGAAAAATAATTCCAGAAAGCTCAAAAAAACAAACCTGAATTTGCTGAGTGCCTCACAACTATATACACAGCTTTTGTATTGTGTTAATGTATTGTAAGTAATTTAGGACCTACTGCATAGCACAGGGAACTGTACTCAATATTATGTATAACCTATAAGGGAAAAAAATCTGAAAAGATATATATATATATATACCCCCACACACATACGTGGGCTTCCCCCATGGCTCAGTGGTAAAGAATCTGCCTGCAGTGAAGGAGAGGCAGGAGATGCTGGTTCAATCCCTGGGTCGGGAGGATCCCCTGGAGGAGGGCATGGCAACCCACTCCAGTATTCTCGCCTTGAAAACCTCATGGGCAGAGGAGCCTGGTGGGCTGCAGTCCATAGGGTCGCAAAGAGTTAGACACAACTGAAGTGACTGAGCACACATATACACGTCCATATAGCTGAATCGGTGTGCCGTACACCTGAAACTCACAATATTGTAAATCAGATACATTTCAATAAAAAATGTTCTAAAATATTAAGCTCTATGGAGAGATATGTATAGGTTATATGCAAACACGAGGCCATTTTATATAAGGGACTTGAGCACCCGTGGATTTTGATCTCCTTGAGGGGTACAGGAACCAATCCCCCGTGGATACCAAGGGACAACGATATTAGAACAGTTTGTCATAATCTTGGGGTAAAATTCTGTATAAACTATTCTGAGAGTTTTTTCATAAATCATTGTAATTAATGAAAAAATAGAAGATTATACTAATATGATCACTTATATAACATAAACTTTTAGAATCCTGTCAGTGTAATATTCTAATGTACAAATAGATTTGAGATCTTTACTTGTACTTGTTCTTTTAATGTAGGGAGAGATGTTATTGATAGATGTATATTGTGCTACATATGCAGTGGAGAAGCAGAAAAACTTTAACAAGTTTTTTCAGTTTTCAAATGAAGCACTCTAATTCCTAAAACCTACTTTACTTGAATGTAATGAATCCTGCAAATGAAATTTGCCCAGACTTGGAATTATATTTGAAACTTGGCAATATTCTCTATAGTTTGATTCATTCCAGTATTTGAAAAGTATTAAAGCTTCCTTTTGATATTTAGGGTTATTTTTAAAATTGTTCCACTACTGAATTTGCCATATTTTTGTCTTAATTTCTCTTCTCTAAAGCATTCCCTTGTGGATTTGCCTTATAGACTCATAAAGATCATCTAATATTATAGATAAGTAAACCAAATCCCACAATGTTTCCTTTGCCCATTATCCCTTAAGTACTTTTGATTCTTTGAATACTGATGAGATTGGAGTGGTTTTTTGGTTACTTTTAAGTGAATTCAGTGAATTCTTTTTTACTCAAAACAAGTAGAAAGCTCAGTACTGGTTAATCAAATTAAAAGATGATCAAAATTTAATTGTAATAATGTTTAACCTTTAACATTAAACCCCTAAATACCTTCTGAGCCATCCAAGGATAATAAATCGTACTTAGTTTTCATTTTGTTCATTTATGTATTTTGTCAAAAAAAATTTTAAAACTTTGATTAACTAGGCCTTCCATTTCCCAGCTATTCATAGTAAATGGAAAGTTGACTTTCTTCTGTTGTTTTTTTTTCTCCTAAGGGAGCAGAAAAAGTTATTTGTCAGCTATACAGCATAAAGCAGTTTTACCAAGCCGCAATAGAGATAGGCCTACAATCACAAATCATGATAGACAAATGAGGAAGTACTGCAGAGAGAAAATATCTTCCAAGTCAGAGATGGTTAAATTAAGAAACAAATGGACTAAAGGGAAATAGAATTATTTACATATACTGTGTATCCCACAGTTTAATTATAAAGCAATTGACTCTTGAAAGTACCATCTTTTCATCCCTTGTACTCTGTAGAATGTTAGTCACATGCTAAAGTTAAGAATTACTACTATATTACTTATACGTTATGTAATTTGTAAGGGGGAAAAAATCAGCTCATATTGCTGAATATTTAGGCACCAAGGTAACCACTATTAAGGAAACACTGCACTTTAAAAAAATCAGAATGTAAGTGTTCAATAACTTAAAAAAAAAATAGTAATGGAACTGCATTTACAAAGGAGGCCTTACTTGTATAGAACATATCAATGACAGTTTTCCATTGAGCATGCTTGAATAAAGAGAAATAATTTAACTTTATTAAGGTAAGGTAAAGGTAAAAGCTCATGTATATCCATGTAAAATATCCATGTAAAATCCATATATCAAGTTACATTTATTTTAACAAATTTGTATTTCCAGTCTTGACTTGTTTTTTCTTTCCTAAGAATTTGTAAAAATTGTAAATCTACAAGGAAAACTGAAATCAAGTAAGAAACTGGCCTCTGAGCTAAGTTTTGATTTTCGCATTGAATCTGTAGGTAAGTCTTCTTTTTAAAATAATGCATTTAGACAGCTTGGTTTTTTTATCCTTTTGTTCTTAGGGGTTACCTAGACCAGCACTGTCTCATAAAAATTGATTTGATATAGAAATGTTCTCTGTGTTTGTAGATACAGTAGTCATTAACCATACTTGTTAAGTATTTAAAGCATGGCTGGTGCTACATTTTAATTTTTTTAATTTTAATTAATCTAAAATTTAATGTAAATAGCCACATGTGGCTTGTTCCTATCATATTAGACAGTGCAGATCTGGACCATAATAATCTTTTATTGTTGTTTCTTGAATATTTAAGACATGAAATCATTTCTTAAATTTTTGTATATTGTTCCTTTTGCTGCATCAAGTAAATTATACTTCTTCCAGTTCTTTCCAAATCATGAAGGTATTTGTGTGATGTGATTAACAGTGTTAGAATTCTTTGCCTTGTAAGATTCTGGTTGGTGTGTGTTGATGGTTTTGCTTTTAGGTCTATTTAAATATAAATAGCTAGTTTCCCACAGAATCTGGAAAATACTGCTATGCCATTTGAATTTACTTTCTTGTCAATGAGTGTTTAACTCTGTAATGTCATTGATTTTATGATAAAAAATTATACTTTATTATTTTTGCATTCTCACTGATTAATGTCAGTAAGTATTTTCCTCAGGGGTAATAGGACTTATGAAAAAATACTGTATGTGGGAACATTTTGAATAGTTTATAGTATGGTTCTACCATAAGTCAAAAACAGTTAATCAAAATTGATTTTTATTTAGGCCATAAAAAATGTGTATTTTAAGGTTAAGTATATATAACTTTTTAAAACATGGTTCTCACTATTTAGAAAATTTTCTGTTTATTTTTAGTATTTTAATGTTTTCTCAAAGGCCATTTTACCCTATCTCAAAGTGTATTTATCCCCGTGGGTAAACATCTCACATATAAATAATTTACTTATGATTGGAAATTTTAATTTTCTTAAGTGGAAAACCTAAACTTTCTGTAGATGCTATGACAAAAGGAATTTTGAAAATAGTTTCTTCTTTTAAGCCTTTGTATTCTGGATATTGCATACTAGTTCCTAGGATTTAATATTTTCAACGGAGATTCCAACATATAGATCTTTAGATCCTCTTAATTTTAACTGAAACACACTTTACCTCAACTTTCTCATATGTGCCAAATGTTTTAGGAAATTTTAGTTGTTATACAGAAGTTTGTTCCTCCTAGGCTACAATCTCTTCTTTCCAATGAATCTTGGAATAATTTCAAGGATCCTCCTGGGGAAAAAGAGTCCCTTTAAGTCACCTTTTAAAAATAAAACCAGTACCTGTTTTTTCATTTCCTGGTTAGTGAAATTTGTATGATTTGTCACTGTAAAATTATGTTTATTGAGCTAAATTATGTCTTCAAAATATTCTTACATTAACTTTCTACGGAGTCAGTATTCAGTAAGAGGTGTGATAAATTTCAATCACTTTTCTCTCATCACCTTGCCTGGTACAAGGCATATGGCTAACTCTTCAACAATTAGCTTGATTCTTTTCCTCATTCTTACTCCCTCACTCACTCCAGCCTCTGGCCAGGAAAGGACCAGAGGCCCTGCTGCCCCCCACCCCCAAATTGGGATCCCTGCCACTCTGTAAACCACAAGTGACCCCATATAGGTGCCTCAGTGGGTCCAGACCTGTGCTTGGCGCCAGGCAAGACACAGCAATGGACAAGGCATGGGGAGAACAGGTTTACGTCCAGCCTTCAGCCACCTCAGGGAGTCATGGGAGACGGATGAGCAGGAGGGGACATAGCGTGTCATGGGGTAGCCACACTTTGGGCCCTGCTAAAGTGGGTCATTCCTGAATCCAAAGCCATCAAGAAGGTGAGCAAGCTTGGCTCAGCTCTGTGAACACTCTTGTGGGCAGCAAGTCCTACAAGCCCAGGGCAGTGTTCCAGGGGGCTCCAAAGGCCTGATGGGGCTGGGGCAAGAGTGGGGAGTATTGTAGCTGAGAGCGCCTAGCCCCTCCAATAAGAACTGGTTCACAGATCAAAAATATTCAGTGTGTGGTTTAATTTTGAGACAGGTTTATTTTTGAAAATTAATTTTGTATTAGGGAAAATGTGAGCATAAATAAAAGATGCTTCCTTAATAGCTACTTCTAAATATATGATAGTATTTAAATAATCAGGTCTTTTATCCAAAAAAGGCAATTATATGTTCTTATTTTTTTGTTTACCCTTATTAGACAAAAGATAGTATATGAAAGAAAAATTAATGTGCTGATATCCACTCATTAGAAGTTAGCCCATTTTTAAATAAATGCCTGTTATAATATATCTTAAGACAACTTCTGTGACACTGCCTCAATACATTATTTGAGCCTTGGCATGTCTTAGCCACAAAAATGTGGGGAACTAATGGTCTAGACAGTAGAATTTTGCACCAAGCACCAAGTAACCTTACATTATCATTGATTAAAAACAGTCAAGGAAAATGTATAATGCAGTACTCTGTGTCTTATTTTAGTCCTGTTCTCCCTTATCCTTTTTAGTATGCCTTCAAGACAGTGTATTGGCTTTCTGGAAACATGGAATGCAGGGTAAAAGCTTCAAATCAGATGAGGTAAGATTTCTCAGATTATCTCCAGTGAGTCTCACTAAAGATTTTAAATGTTGAAATATTCATTTTATGCATTTTCTCCCTGAACCCACATTGCTATATTTAGTGCCTTTAGTGCTAATAGAACAAAATTGCTAGTATTTTCCCTTCAAAAAATGTCCAGTTTTTTATTTATTGTATTCTCAGTGGCCAAAGGAATAGTCAAACATGAGTTTACACAATTTCAGTCCTCTTATTTGTAATTTATAAATATGGTCACTAAGCTTGCTAAACTTTTCTAAAGGTAATAAACCTTCTCCATAGTCTATAAATGTAGAGCTTCTTTTTTAATATTATACTTAGAATTCTAAGTTAATATGTATTGAATTACAGGACTAAGGAAAATCTAAGAAAATTAGCTCACTTACTAAATATTTATTGCTTACCAAATACATTTAGGATGCTGTTATTATTAGGGCATTGAAGACATAGTATAATTATGAATAATATCAAACCCTTGTGATGTCTATGTCCCAGGCACTTTACAAATATTAGTTTATTGAAGGCAAGTAGGATAGTAGGATTTTTAAGTACCATTCAAAGTAAGATTGGGCTTCCCTGGTGGCTCAGATAGTAAAGAATCCTCCTGTAATGTGGGAGACCTGGGTTTGATCCCTGGGTTGGAAAGATCCCCTGGAGGAAGGCATAGCAGAGTAAGGTTAGATACTGTTCATATTCCCCATTTTACAGGCAGAGAGAAGTTAAGTAACTTAATGAGAGTTACAGAGCTAGTTCAGTGGCAGAGCCTAGATGGTGAGTGAGTGAAGTTGCTCAGTCGTGTCCAACTCAGAGACCCCATGGACTGTAGCCTACGAGGATCCTCTGTCCGTGGAATTTTCCAGGCAAGGGTACTAAGTGCGTTGCCATTTCCTTCTCCGGCGGATCTCCCCAACCCAGGAATCAAACCTAGGTCTCCCACCCTGCAGGCAGATGCTTTACCATCTGAGCCACCAGGGAAGCCACGTAGATGGTGAAGGGTTTCCAAAAATCACTTCTACTGAGATCGTCAGGATGCATTTCATGTAGGAGATGGGACTTAGGCTCCCACTTTGAGAGCTTAATTCTAGCAAAGATGTTTCCCATTTGTGTGAGTACCTATGTAGTTCTTTTACACCAAGGTCTCACAAATTTATGGACTTATAACTATTTCCACCTCTTACATGAATGCAGAATTAGAATGCTTCCAAGTAAAAATGACATAAATCAGCTGTCTTCAGTTTATCTAGTTACTGACCTGTGTCACTAAATGTCACCAAACCCCTGCATTTAATGAAGCCTACAGTCCTATTTACTGCCATAAGATTGATTGTCCTTAAGTGCTGTTTTCATTGTGTCAGTCCTGTGGTTAGAAATCTGTAGAATATACTTCACTATCAGTTCAGTTCAGTTGCTTAGTCGTGTCTGACTCATTACGACACCATGGACTGCAGCACGCCAGGCCTCCCTGTCCATCAACAACTCCCGGAGTCTACCCAAACCATTGAGTCAGTGATGCCATCCAATCATCTCATCCTCTGTCGTCCCCTTCTCCTCCCGCCTTCAATCTATCCCAGCATAAGGGTCTTTTCCACTGAGTCAGTTCTTCTCATCAGGTGGCCTAAGTATTGGAGTTTCAGCTTCAACATCAGTCCTTCCAATGAACATTCAGGACTGATTTCTTTTAGAATGGACTGGTTGGATCTCCTTGCAGTCCAAGGGACTCTCAAGAGTCTTCTCCAACACCACAGTTCAAAAGCATCAATTCTTCACCGCTCAGCTTTCTTTACAGTCCAACTCTCACATCCATACATGACTACTGGAAAAACCATAGCCTTGACTAGATGGACCTTTGTTGGCAAGGTAATGTCTCTGCTTTTTAATATGCTGTCTAGGTTGGTCATAACTTTTCTTCCAAGGAGTGTCTTTTTATTTCATGGCTACAGTCACCATCTGCAGTGATTTTGGAGCCCAAGAAAATAAAGTCTGCCACTGTTTCCACTGTTTCTCCATCTATTTGCCGTGAAGTGATGGGACCAGATGCCATCATCTTAGTTTTCTGAATGTTGAACTTTAATCCAACTTTTTCACTCTCCTCATTCACTTTCATCAAGAGGCTCTTTAGTTCTTCACTTTCTGCCACAAGGGTGGTCTCATCTGCATATCTGAGGTTATTGATATTTCTCCCCGCAATCTGATTCCAGCTTGTGCTTCATCCAGCCCAGCGTTTCTCGTGATGTACTCTGCATATAAGTTGAATAAGCAGGGTGACAATATACAGCCTTGACATACTCCTTTTCCTATTTGGAACCAGTCTGTTGTTCCATGTCCAATTCTAACTGTTGCTCCCTGACCTGCATACAGAGAAAAGAAAGCCTTCCCCAGTGATCAGTGCAAAAAAATAGAGGAAAACAATACAGTGTGAAAGACTAGAGATCTCTTCAAGAAAATTAGAAATACCAAGGGAACATTTCATGCAAAGATGGACTCAATAAATTACAGAAATGGCATGGACCTAACAGAGGCAGATGATATTAAGAAGAGGTGGCAAGAATACACAGAAGAACTATACAGAAAAGATCTTCATGACCCAGATAACCATGATGGTGTGATCACTCACCTCTAGCCAGACATCCTTGAATGCGAAGTCAAGTGGGCCTTAGGAAGCATCACTACGAACAATGCTAGTGGAGGTGATGGAATTCCAGTTGAGCTATTTCAAATCCCTAAAAGGTGATTCTGTGAAAGTGCTGCACTCAATGTGCCAGCAAATTTGGAAAACTCAGCAGTGGCCACAGGACTGGAAAAGGTCAATTTTCAATCCAGTCCCTAAGAAAGGCAATGCCAAAGAATGCTCAAACTACTGCACAATTGCACTCATCTCACACGGTAGCAAAGTAATGCTCAAAATTGTCCAAAGCCAGGCTTCAACAATACATGAACCATGAACTTCCAGATGTTCAAGCTGGATTTAGAAAAGACAGGGGAACCAGAGATCAAATTGTCAACATCCACTGGATCATCAAAAAGCAAAAGAGTTCCAGAAAAGCATCTATTTCTGCTTTTTTGACTATGCCAAAGCCTTTGACTGTGTGGATCACAACAAACTGTGGAAAATTCTTAAAGAGATGGGAATACTTCACTGTATCAGGTGTGAATTCTGCTTCTTCTGTTACATCATCTTGCTTACCTTTTTCTTTCTCGTTTTGTTCTCATCCTTCAATTTGGGCCTAGCTGGAATGATCATAATGTAATATTCAGCCACTCCAGTCCTCAATGATCGGAACATTTCTGAACTTAATACTCTGAACATCAGTTCCACCTAGTATAGCACCAGATATATTTTCTGATTCAAGTTCATTAGTTCCAGGGCTTGCCTGGTGGCTCAGTGGTAAAGAATCCACCTGCCAATGCAGGAAACATGGGTTCAATCCCTGATCTGGGAAGATCCCACATTCCACGGAGCAACTAAGCCCATGTGCCACAACTACTGAACCTGTGCTCTAGAGCCTGCGAGCCACAACCACTGAGCCCACGTGTGGTAACTCCTGAAGCCCGCATGCCCTAGAACCCATGCTCCAAAACAGAAGAAGCCACCACAATGAGAAGTCTGTGTAACTAGGAAGTAGCCCCCCATTCACCACAACTAGAGAAACCACACAACAGCAAAGACCCAGCACAGCCCCAAAAAATGAAATAAATTTTTTTATCTTTAATAGTATTTTTAATACTTCTTTTATATTTACATTGTCATAGTTTGGGTTCCTCCAAAAGCTGACCCTGAAACAAGGATCCAAGTGGCAAGTAATTTATTTGGGAGTAGATCCCAGAAAACAAGTGATAAAGTGAGGGATGTAAGATGGAGAAAGGCAAAAAGCCAACAAAAGCACATTTAATAAATCCCATAGGGACTACTGAGGGACAGTGTGGGACATACCTCAGATTCAGCTCACTGTAAGGTGGGGACGCAAGTGTGTTTATACACCAACTGCTGGGCCCTGTTAATGAAGAGTTGCCCCCAGAAGTATAAACTACCCACACTTTGGAATAGTAACTGTGCATGTCTGAGCACTTTCTTTAGTTTTGGAGAAGCCAAAGCAGAGGAATACCACCGGTACACAGACGTAAGACACTGGTGCATGGGAGTGTCCGTCGGAGCTCTGCTGAAATCAGGTGGGCCCTGGGACGCCACCTCAAGCATCTGCACTGCAGGGGCTGTGCAGCCTAGCAGACTTATATTCAAATCTTGGGTCTCCCAAGTTACATTAGTTCTCTGAGTCTTTAATAATATGGGAAGGATAATACGTATCATAAAGAGTTCTAAGTAAAGTGCCTGGCGCATACCCCGTACATGTTGATTTGTTTCTGATAGCAGTCCAGAAAAACTTAGTAAAATTTGTTCCTTTTGAAGAATTGAATCTATCGAAAACTATCATTCTGGTCAATAATTGCTCTAGCTAAATGATTTTTAAATTATTATTTAAATAATATGGGGAATAAGATACTACTGATGGGTATTTTCTCTCATAGGTTACCCAAGAGATTTCAGATGAAACAAGAGTTTTCCGCTTATTAGGATCAGACAGGTAATAGTTTGGTTGTTTTATTACCAGAGGAGTTCAGCAATTGTATTTTTACTTGCATTGTCACCTCTGATTGTATTTCAAACAAAACTTTTTTTTTTTCAATATTATTTATTTTCTTGAAGGAAAGTTGGTTTATCATATTTATACAGGTTCCATGTATGCAGCTGTGTATCTCTAGTTCTCTGCTCTTTGGTGCGCTCACCACCAGAAGCTGCGTTTCCTTCCCTCACCTTCGCTCTCCCTCCATCCCTACCTCTTCCCTCTGGTTGCCACTCTGTATTTACACGTTTGTTTTTGTTTGGTGTTTTCATTTATTTTTGTGTATGTTAAATGAAACTCTTAGAGGCCTCAGAATCTTAGAGAAATTTCCCTGTATCTTTATTGAGAGAGAAATATTTTAGTCAGTTAAAGAAGCTTTTATTAGTGTGTGAGGATCATGATTCTAGAGATAGTTATACTCAGCCAAGACAGAATGTGTTAACATAGATATTTATGTCCCTAGTTACATGATATATTTGTGGGTCTTTTGTTTTTATCATTTCTTCCTGGCATGTTAACTTATGTTAAATGTTACTACATAAATCCAACAGAATGTGCACCTTGTGACTTTAACTTTATATATCAGAAGATATTTGAGTCAGTCTCTGATCTCGTTCTAAAGTAGAAGGAATTATGTGTTCTTTGTGATCAAAATGAAAGATAAGTTCCAAAACTATGCCCTCTTATGAAAAAAATTTATAGTTTTAGTTCTTCAGAATCTATATTGTATACTTCTACAATGAGTAAAATACTCATTTTCCCACCAAAAGTTGTTAACTGCAGCAAAAGATCAAGAATCTCTGGTCTTCAAGTTCAGTCTAGTCACATCATTGCTTAAATATTATACACTTAAGGAAAGAGGGGAGAATTGGAGTTATACCTCCATAAAAATTTTAAAGAGAATTTTGTAAGGAGAAAAAGGATTTTTGGGAAATGACAGCTACCTAGTAGTAAAGGCAAGTCCACAGAGCATGACAACCTAGTAAGTAGTCCTGCAAAAAAGGAATTTGAGGACCACCTGGTAAATGACACTAGAATGGGAGGCTCTTTGCTTCTCCGAAAGGAAGGGCTAATAGAAGAACTGTAAATCATCCAGTGATCCTGGCACTCCGGTAAAATATGGTAAGAGATAATTCCTTCTTATAGAAGATAGGCATCAGAAGGCATTTCTTATAGTTACTTGTTTCCTTCCAACTCCTTCTCCTAGAATTTTCTCTTTCATCTATTGCCTTTTTTGTCTATTCTATATTGTTTTTCCATTTTCTGTCACTGTTTGCCCTAAAAAACTACTTTTCTCAGACTATTGCCTTGTTCTGGTTATCTTACTTGGGCATCTCCTTGATTTTAAGATCTGTATCTTAACCAAAGTTTTTGTTTTGTCTTAATTTTTAAAGAGATTTGTTAAACTATATTGTTTAAATACAGGTATTAGTGTCTAGGAGGAAAGAAAACTCACTGTAGAATATTAATAATGGGTAGTTGAATTATGGGTAATTTTATTTCCCCCCTTTTTTATTATAATGCATAATTTAGGTATATATTACTTTTCTGTTGTTTTCATTCAAAAGGTAATAATATGCTAGGTGTAGGAAATTCCTGCACTAGAAAAATGCAAGTATTATGCAACTCCCCCCTTCCATTTCCCTTTCTAGACTTTTTTTTCTGCATGAGCATATTATTTTTTATTTTGTTCTCAAACCTATCTTCCTACAGTTTAGAACCTATGATATGACACTTGATTGGTTTTTGGGTTTTCTTCCTATTGGTCCTTTCATTGAACTCTTTCCCTGGGGACAAGGGAGATGACCCCACTTCATAGTTTTTAAAACTATTCTTTTCAGATATCTTAAAGAACAGTGTGAGTAGGTATCTCTTAAAATTCTATTTTATTCTCTTAACCCTTCCTCCAGCCTCTTCTTGTTCATGTATATTCTAAAGCTTTATTATACTTTTGTTTACATGTATGAGTAAGCAAATTTGTTTTTCGTTAGAATAAGATGAGACTATCCTGAAACGTTTTCAATATTTTTGATAGCTCAGTTGGTAAATAATCCTCCAGCAATGCAGGAGACTCCGGTTTGATTCCTGGGTTGGGAAGATCCGCTGGAGAAAGGATAGGCTACCCACTCCAGTATTCTTGGGCTCCCCTTGTGGCTTAGCTTGGTAAAGGATCTGCTGCAGTGCAGGAGACCTGGGTTCGATCCCTGGGTTGGGAAGATCCCCTGGAGGAGGGAAAGGCTACCCACGCCAGTATTCTGGCCTGGAGAATTCCATGGACTATAGGGGGATACAAAGAGTCGGACACAGCTGAGCGACTTGCACTTTCACTTTCACATTCATAAATCCATCAGTTCTTATTCAGTTTTGTTTTTAAGCTATAAAACATAAAGCTCAATTTGACTATGTATCTATGATCTCTGTAATCTTGTGTGAACATTAACAATGATATTCCTCTCTCCCAGTTTGATGTTAGTATTTGAAGATGAAACCTCTGTTCTTACTCTAATGAGATTTTTGTTTTGATTAATTGCAGGGTTGTTGTTTTGGAAAGCAGACCAACAGAAAATCCTACTGCACACAGCAATCTTTACATCTTGGCTGGACATGAAAATAGTTACTAAGCAACAGAAACTGGTCTCAAATGACAAGAAAATGAATATACTTCACTGAAAGGAAAAATATCTTGAGGAAATTCAGTACAAACTATACTATGATTTGCTTTAATTGTTATGAGTTATATCTCAAATGATCTGTACTTTAAGGTAGGATTCAATATTTTCTGTAGCTGGAAACAGCTGTTCTATCTCTTGCCACTGTGTGGTGGTTTTTTTCAAGTTTGCTTAATAAAAGCTATGAGACAAATAGTCCTCTAGTTCCAGGAAACACAGTCTTTTAAAAAAAATAATGTTTGTAACAAGGGTGCCATTGATATTTTTAGGTAACAACTTGTGATTATCTTCAGAGAGGTAAATTTAGTGACAGTTTTCTCATTTTATACCATGTTTTATTCCTTCTTAATGAACATAATTTGATAAAGAAATTATCAGATAAGCCTTTCACTTTTACATTGGCCATTCTGTATGTTTTTGTAAAATAGAATATTTAATCCTTATTTATTAATCTCTTGCTGGAGTGGTGTAATGTATCTAACTTTTAGTAAAGGAGGGTTGCAGAGCAGCTTAAATTTTTTTATAATGTGTAAAAATTTTGTTTACCTTTTAAGATTAGTACTTTAAGGGGTTAAAGGCTGTGTTTGGAGGTTCAGTACATACATACAATTTTATTTAACACAAGTATTTTGTAATATAATATTATCCAGAATTGCCTTAAAAGGGAGTTTTTTGTTTTCAACTACATATAGTTGTAGGGGATCATACAGAAGATAATGATGATGGTCGAAATATTGTTAGAAGGAGTGTATCTGTCTAGATGTGCCTACTGTGTGTATGTATTCTTGACAAGCAGTATAATATACCTGTGATTTTTTTTTTACATTAGGGATAATGCATAAGAAATTAATCTTCATATATATTACCATCCCTAATGTAGAGGGGAAAAGTATTTAACTGCCCATGATATGTATTTTACATATACTATGCCAGAGGAGAAAATGTAAAGCAACTGCACATGTATTCTTTGGTTTTTTACCATACATAAATCTTCATTTTGAGTAGGTTTAAGAAAAAAATCTTTACATGAAATTAAATTCCTGATGGGATAGTATAAAATAAGTATTATAAAAACTAGTATTCTAAAGATAAGAAAGGATAGGGCCATTCTTGAGTTTTCTTCCTTTCTGCTATTGTTAATATTCAAAATTAAAGCATCACATTGGTACCTATTATCTTAATACATTTAACAGTTACCTTTGAGATGATGAACAAGGGGTTAGTAGTAACAAACTATGGATTCTTTTTGAGCAGGTCTTTGAGAGGAAGACAGTGTAACTATCTCATTCAGGCTGTAGTGATCCTATATAGTAGGTATGATCATCGTCTCAGTTTTTCAGATGAGGAAATAAGGGGTTAGCGAGATTGAGACTTACCCAGTTCACACAGCAAGTTAGTGATTGAGCCAGACCATGAGTCTTGTGACTCTGTTCTTTTTGCTATGCAATATGCAAACAATAAAATGTTATGCAAATGAAATATATAAAGTTTTGTCCTTTTAAAATGTATATATGATTTCAGTAGTGTGTCACTGTTTATTTTGGGCATGTTAAATGGGGCCTCTGGACTGAAGGACACTGGATACAATAGATGTCAGGGAGTCCTACTCAAAACAAATAGTCATGTTGTGTTTACAAAGACCAACATCCTCCTCCTCTCTGAATCCTGGCTGCCAGATCTTCCCATCCAACAATATTGGAAGAGTCTTCTCTGTGCCATCTGACCAGTGCAAGTGAAAAGACCCGAACAGATCCTGACATCAGAGGTGTCCTGGCTCAACTGCCCCGCTGGATAACTCTACAGTGAAAATCATAGTTAATGTGCACAGCACCCCACACATGCATCCAGACTTGCAGTTATTCTTTTAGTTCCATGCTATTAAAAATGATTAAACAACCAGGAGTTATGAAACATCCAAAGAAGCCTCTTACATGAGAGAGAGAACAATTAGGGAAAAAGCACCTAAAGGCAACAGACTATGAAGAAAGAAAAAAATGTCAAAAGAAAAAGTATCTTTGGAAAGATGAATTTGCAACTATGAATCAGGAGTAGGTATAAAAAGGAGCTTTCAAAAAACAGAGGTATTAGAAAAAATGAATAGCATTGCTGAATAATTCAATATATGATTTAGAATATAAAGTTGAAGAAATTTCTCAGGAAATAAAAATAAAATATGGAGAAAAAAGTTAATTTTTAACAGCCCTAGAGGCCTGATATTCAATCTCCCAGAGTTCCAAAAAGAACAGAGAAAACAGGGACTCAGTGGAGTATTTCAAGAAATAATTCCAGTACTAAAGAACTTCAGATTTTAGATTGAAAGAATAATACAGTGGATGAAGAAAAGTCTATTATGAAATTTCAGGCACTTTGGGGTCAAAGAGAAGATATGTTTCCAAAGAAAAAGGGCAGGTCAAATACCAAGAATTAAGAATCAGAATAGCTTAAAATTTCAACAGAAGCAGTGCCTTCAAAATTCTGAAAGAAATTTCCAACCTAAAATTCTGGATCCAAACAAACTATTAATCAAACCTAAGGAGAAAATGAAGACATTTTTATTTGTACAAGGTCTCACAAACTTTACCTCTCATATGGTCTTTCTCAAAAAACCATAAAGGATATGTTTCATAAAAATAAGGGCACAAATCAAACAAAATGAAGACATGAGGTGTAAAGACTGGGATTCAGCACAAGAGAGAGACAAAGGCTGTCTCCGGATGATGATGAGATAGCCGAGGATGACACCACACCAGCCATACAGAACACAGTGAAGCATATCAGAAGCTCCCACAGAGACTTTTTCAGAAAGAGTAATAAACTACCTGATGCATCTCCCAGAGCCCAAAAAAATCAGAGTGAGGGACTTGCGACATTGAAATGGAGAAAGAGGAGGGTCAACACAAAGGTGCATTGTTGAGGTCATTGCTGTGTAGACGGTGGCAGCTTGATTGCACCAGGTCTTCCTGAAGCTCTGTTGATAGTTCAGCAGTTGTCTCCTGAAAGACAAGTGGCTGGACTGTTTTCTTCCTCACTAGTTGAATTGCTGCCAGGGCATTACCTCCTGAAGCACACTATTGTAGCTGGCCATGTGGGCTCCTTGGCTGTCAGAGAATGCCCTAAGCTAGAAAAATGGAAGAGTACGAGATAAATCTGAGCTCAGATAGAACTATCCACTGCCTCTATGGCTGAAATCAGAAATGGGTTCAATTCAGTTCAGTCGCTCAGTCACGTCCGACTCTTTGTGACTCCATGGACTGCAACACGCCAGGCTTCCCTGTCCTTCACCAACTCCCAGAGCTTGCTCAAACTCATGTCCATCGAGTCGGTAATACCAGTCAACCATCTCATCCTCTGTCGTCCCCTTCTCCTCCCACCTTCAATCTTTCCCAGTATCAGGGTCTTTTCCAATGAGTCATTTCTTCACATCAGGTGGCCAAAATATTGGAGCCTCAGCATCAGTCCTTCCAATGAATCTTCAGGACTGATTTCCTTTAGGATAGACTAGTTTGATCTCCTTGCAGTCCAAGGGCTCTTAAGAGCCTTCTCCAACACCACAGCTCAAAAGCATCAATTCTTTGGCCCTCAACTTTCTTTACGGTCCAACTCTCACACTCATACATGACTATGGGAAAAACCATAGCTTTGACTCTACAGATCTTTGTTGGCAAAGTAATGTCTCTGCTTTTAGGATTCAGTCTGTGATGATATTATTTCTATGCAAAAACTTACCTAAGGTTGAAATCAAACCAAAAACTCCCAGGTATTAACTCCAGGAAAGCAAAATGTTATATAGGAAAGAAAAGGTAAACCACTGTGACCAGTGGCTGAATGCCATAAGAATGTTAACGGTAAATAATAATCTAATCAAGTTTATAACATAATTATATTGAGAGAGGATAACGGTGGTGTGGAGGTAAAGTGGAACAGTGGGAAATCAACAGAAAATTAAAAACTAAGAAGCAGCTTATTTAGTACATGGAAATAAAATAATCTGCTAAAAAAGAAGGAAAAAGGTTTTTGAAGAGAGATGGGGTAGGGGCATGCTTCTTTTTGGTGACAAACTTATAGGACTATTCAGTTATTTATGTGTGTGCCTACAGTTTTTTTTAATGTAAAAGTAATCTAAATGAAAGCATGTTTCTGTTACATGACAAACAATATGAGCAAGCATACAAATTCAGCTTCCTATACTGTACCTTACACACAGTGTGTGTGTATTAGTCACTCAGTCATGTCCATTCGAGTCTTTGCAACCCCATAAACTTTAGCTCACCAGGCTCCTCTGTCCATGGGGATTCTCCAGGCAAGAATACTGGAGTGGGTCGCCATTCCCTTCTCCAGGGGATCTTCCCAATCCCAGGGATTGAACCTGGGTCTCCCATATGGCAGGCATCTGAGCCACCAGGGAAGCCCTTACACATAGTAGGTATTCCATAAATATGGACTATGGCTAATGTATGCATGGTGTAGTAGAAGGCCAGTAATTGGAGAGGGTGGGAAACTGGTTAAGTAAATCTAGAAGGTCTTGTGACAGAAATCATTTTTATCTTTTTTTTCTTTTTTCTTTTGGCTAAACCTCCTGTCCAGCCTTCTCACCCACTACTCCATTAAGCACCTTGGAACACTGGCACATAGAGGTCATGATCATTCCACCTTCATTGCTCGACTCATAATGGCTCTCCCATCTGAAATTATGATTTTTCACCAAAAATTTAAATTCTTTATATCACTCAGGGCACTTGGTTTACTCCACACAAGCCCTAACTTTTACATGGCACTTCTGTTTATTTTCTGTTTTCCAGAATTTCTACAGCACATGCAGGTTATACATTTCAACATAACACTCAGTTGTCATATACTGGCCAAACCCATGTAGCACTAACTACTTACCTTAGGCAAATTATTCAACCTTTCCAGGCTTCCATCTCCTTATCTGTTGATTGGAAATCATGGTC